CCCCCATTATCCTTTTGGCGTTCTTCCCTCCGGGTCAATGATAGATACACTATAAGCAGATCACTCAAACCCTACTTGTCTATGCTTTTTTTGATAAAGTAAGGTATTTTATTAATAAATAGTACCAAGGAGGTACTATAGAAGTACAAAAGAGAGTATCAAGTTCGTCTACATAATTGCATCCAGAAATTCCAAAAGAAAGGCTGGGTTGTCTAACATATTAAACCTACACCATGAATACAAAGATTCTAGACATCTATACTTTACAAAAGAAGAGTGTTGTATCCTTCCTTTGAAACATCTACTAAGTTCTTTCCAACCATATAGTAGTCCCCGTGATGCATAATGGCATAGTCTTCCATATTTGCCTTCTATTTTTCTCAATCTTTTGACCCTGCCAGCAAGATAATAGACTTCTCACATCCTGGGGCATCACTCAAAGAATTCCAAAAATATTTAAGAATAGGGACCAATTCTGCCAAGTGAATTTGCAATGAAAAAGGAGATGATTGCTGGTTTCAATTGTATCTTCACATGAAATACACCTGCTGCAGAGAGAACAGCCTCTTCTCTGTAATGCAACTTGAGTTACGCAAGCATCTTTTGCTGCTACCCCAACCAAAGCAAGCTGCTTTAGGTGCTTCCTTTGTTCTCCATAACATCTTTCAAGGTCAATTATTCTCCCAGTTCTCCCTGTTCGTTCGTCCTGAAATCTTACTGCATTGAATCTCCTCCAATTGCCCATGGAAGTTCTGCCAGATCACTGATTTTTGCCAACTCTTGCCACGATTCTTTCTTCCTTTCCTGTTACATGGCCCATAAACTCCGGAAAGATACAGCTAAAACCTATGTTTGATTCCTTCAGAAATACTGTTACAGAGTGGAGCCCAAATAATTCTTCTTTGCAATTCCATCTTTTATCCCAAAACACAATGATTCCCCCACTACTTCCTTGTGCATCCATTTCTGTCCATTCCACCCACCTGCTGCCCCAAGTTGTCGAAAGAAGGAGATATTTGAAGAGCAGACTTTTGTTTCCAGTGGACAATATATATATCTGCATTCCAATTTATTATGATCATTTTCATCAAATTTCTTTTTTCTTTGTCGCTTAGTCCCCTCACATTCCAACTAACTATTTTTAGTTTTGTTTGGTAGCCACTATTACCTTCTTTCAATTCCCTCTGACCTTTCTTTTTAGGAGAAACACTTTTTGAAGATGGGCTTAGTATATTGATTCTGCTCTTTTCGATTCTCAACAGTATATCCAAGAGTTTTCTTTGTCTATGCTGTATATGTGTTTTTTTTTTTTTTTTTTTTTAAAAAAAAAAAGAATTTTCCTTTAGTTATTTGGTTTGCATTGCTTCACTGCTGTGTTCTCATTGCTAACTTCGAACGCAAATATTGCTTTATGTGTTTTTTGCCACGGTAATAGATATCTGAGAAGCGATAGCACTGCTTTTTAGTGTCTTGTTGATCATGTTTGATTGATAATCTTGCTCTCATGTCAGTTTTATCGGCACTCAAGCTCAATTGTAGACTTGCTACCGCCCACTGAAGTGGACCAGGTAGTTGTTGAGAAAAGGAGCTGATCTTTTATTCTGTCAATTTTATGAAGTAGAGTAGAGCCGTTCTACAGTAACAAGTTGGAGTGTCCAAATCCCTCTTCTTTTTCTCCCTTAGGAAAGAGCGGGAATGGTGAAAACCTTCACGACTCAGATGACGATATTATGATCTGCAACATGTAAGAATTGAAAGGCATGGTTTGTTGCTCAGTTCGGAAATTCTGATACAGTTGTGTACAGTTGTCTATATTTTACCTTAGCTTATACTCTTTGTCTCAAATTATTTTTCGTGATTTCTGAACATAGTTGTCTCAATTTTTTTGTCAATTTAGAAGTTCAAAACTAATTCTTTTTTTTTTCCCCTTCATTTTACCCTTAGTATTAATTGTTCCCGAAGATTACAAATACCTCAATTATGAGTAAATATTTAATGAAGAGATTATATCTTAACATATAAATAAAGATATAACAGTCAAAAACATCTCCTATTTAATATATATTCTTAAGAGACGTGTAAAAGAGAAACACGACATAATTTGAGGGGGCGTTTGCATCTATACTTGCTTTTTGGGTCACGTTTTAACTTGTGCCTGCTTTGCAAAAAAAAATTACAAGCGTACCCACTTTTTCGTGTAACTTCAGCATACGAGGTTGAAGTAGCAAAGACAATTACGCAAAATTTCAGCATTCTAGTAGACGGACCTGAAGTAGCAAAGGCAATATGTTGAAGTTTTTTGTCCTGGATAAGCTTTTTAAAAAATTTCAGCATAAGATGCTGAAGTTATTTAGTTCATTTGTAAAAATTTCAGCATTAAATAAGTTGAATCTTTTTTGTCCTGGATTCATTAGTTTTGTCATAAAGCTTTTTCAAAATTTTCAACAAAAGATGCTGAAGTTATTTAGTTCATTTGTAAAAACTTCAACACTAAATAAAGCTGAAATTTTTTTGTCCTGGATAAGCTTTTTCAAAAATTTCAGCAGAAGAAGTTGAAGTTATTTAGTTCATTTGTAAAAACTTCCGCACTAAATAAGCTGAAGTTTTTGAAAAAGCTTATATAGTTTTTTGACCCATACAATCACTATATTGGATCTTCGTTTTTTTTTCTTCTTTCTGATTGTTTTTTTGGAGCAGATCAATAATTACATTAGAAAAAGGTGCCTTGAGTGGAAATAAATCAAATAATTATAAAGTTTAACCCCACATATCAATTCATTTGATTCAAAGAAAAAAAGATTACATAAAAAATGCGAAAAAAATAAAAAGAAATCTTGCAGCTTATGTTAGTTGATTCATTATTATTGATAAGCCGTAATCAATTTATTGAGACTTAAATTTAGTTGTCCCAACTCCCAATAAAGATCAGATGCTAACCTATGTTATCGTACTGAAAATATCTTAAGAAAACAAAGGAGGAGAAGGAGGAGGAGAAGGAGAGCTGAAGTTATTTAAAAAGTGAGTACAAATTAAAACTTTAAAAAAATAGGTATAGGTTAAATGGGGGCGACCAAATAGAGCGCCCCGTGCAATTTTTACTAATTTGAGGATGAGGGAGTGCATTTTAAGGCTCGGTTCTTCTCTCAACTTTACACCTTTGTCCAATTCTTCTTATCCCGAGACACAGATGGACACTCAATTGAGAAATAATTGCGAAGCCTAAATTTCTTTAGTCACTTCAGATATCCTGTTTAAAACTTTTACCTCGAATGAGTCTGGAGTAGTTAAATACTGAAATGAGAAGCGACAGTCCTTTTGGTTAGGCACCATGATATTACATAGTACATCATATCGCATATAACCTTGTTCCAAGAATGTACTGCATCAAATGTTAGCTATCCCTCTTCGGACCATTGGGACAACTTATTTCTATGTTTATTTTGTCGCGTTGTTCTTTATAGGACAGACTTGAAACTTTCCTCAATATAGTACCCGTGAACAGAGTATTTTGTTCATTCACTGATTTTTTGGTTTATCAAAAATTTTACAAAGATTTTTTCCTTTTTGGTTTTATTTACTCTAATAAACATCATTTTTACCTGATTCTCCCAACTTTGATTTGAACGTCAAAGTATGCTTTACGTTAAAATGCGATAAAATAAAATCTCTATCAAATGAGATGTTCATGTTTTTATAGTCATTGGTAGATGTTATATTTATAAAATGAAATTAAAACCCCGTAATTTGTCTGTATGAGTGGATTGCTCCAGCAAATTCAAGTGCTTTTATATCAATCTACCAAAATGAATAACGGAAAAAGAATCTAACTACAAACTAGATCTATCTTGATTTATTCGTACTGTGTAGACCTTTTAATACGAGGGTAAAATGGTTAAAGAAGAAAAAGGAAATTGTTTCAATTTTGTATCTCTAATTGATGCATTTAACATTAATTTGCTTAAGTTACGACTCGGATATCTTAATAAAATTAGGCAATTGGCTATGTAGTGGCAGACGGACTAGTTTGAGCAAAACTACAAGTGATTTGATCCAAAAAAGGATTTTCATTCACATTACTTTACAAGTACATAAACTTGACAACAAATAAAGTTTAAAAAGGAGAACTCGTGCATATAGATCTCAAAAGGCAACTTCATTAACAATTCCTTGGAGTTTTTTCTCCAAAACTTCTGAACAAATCTGTCCCATCATATGGTAAAATGACTTGAGATCAGATAGTTGCTCCATTGACATTTTCCCCATTACTTTCCTCGCCAATGCCTCTTTCTCTTCATTCATCTTCAGTTTTTCCAAATAGGATGATGCATTCCTTACTGTTGCTCCCATTTGCATTAACCTTGCCTCTTGTGCCAAACTCAATGCTGTATTAGACTGCAAAATTGACATAATCAAGTTTTGATATACATGTGAATTTATGTGATAAGAGTCCGTAAGTTTAGTTGAACCCACAAAACCCGTCCTAAATCTGCCTTTAGTAATGCATAACTTTGGCTGCTGAGAATTATGTCCTACCTCAAGGAATTCTGCTCCTGCATCTAGGTCAGCAGTTTTAGATGGCTGCATGGTTCGACCTCTTTCATATATATCTCTCGCAAGGGAAAAACTTCTGACTATAATTTTCCTCCTCTTCTCCATTTCTTGATTAAGCTTCAACGGTTTTTGGATTCTGGTTGAGTTGCTAATTAGCTTCTTTTGATAAGCAACTACAGCCTTTACAAACTCCTGTCAAAATTACATTCAACAAAGTGTAAGAATAAGATTTTAAATAGTAGTATAATATAGTGCTATATTATAAATACATGTGACAATTTCTTGTTACCTGATAAGCAAATGTACATCCAGGATAATCAAATTCATCAGTATCTGATTGCCTCATTCGTTCAGGATGAAATTGAAGTCCCATGATAAACTTACCTTCTGTAGCATTATAAGCATCTGGATCATAAAATCCTTCAATTAAACCATCAGGTGCAAATGCCATAGGAACAAACCTCTGAGCCAATTTTTTAACTCCTTGATGGTGATAACTATTGACTGAAATTTCCATTTTTTCATCTTCTAAAGAATCCTTAAACCAATGGTGCAACGGCGTTTGCGCGACAACGTTGATCACATGCCTATGACCATCATAATTATCATAATCCATGTGACTTACCCTCTGATTTTCAGGGAGGTTTATTGATATTTCTTTGCCAATATCTTGTAAAAGGGTGCCCCCACATGCAACATTTAGTACCTGTGAACCTCTGCATATACCCAAATAAGGTATGTTCCTTTCTAGACAAAGCTTAGCTAATCTGAGTTCAATTGTGTCTTTTTCTTTGTCAATTGCAGTATCACTAGCGTGTAATCTCCTGATTTCTTCTAATTCATCAGGTGAAAGATCAGAGAGTTCATCATTGTATAGAGAAGGGTCTATGTCTTCTCCTTCACAGAGAAGAACACCGTGAATTGGTTCAAAACTGTCTAATAACATATGAACCCCTGAAACTCGAGGTACAATGACAGGTACAGCTCCATAACTTACTATAAGATCAAGATGATATTCTCCTGAAAATAATAATAAAATGATATCAACAATTTTTTATTTTTTTTTAAATTCATTCCATTTAAATGCGAGAAAATGAAGAGAGGAGAGACGAAGAAGTAACGTACCAACAAAATCGACGAACTTGTTTTTGCGAACGGTACGTCTAGAGACGATGAGGACACGAGGTAGGACTACTGAGAGATCGGCAGCCATGGCAGTAATATAATTTTTTTAATTGTTTTTTTGTATCTAAATTGTAAAAACAAAAGAAGATTAAGGGGTATAATATAGTGAGTTTGAAATTCCAATTTAGATAAAGCTTAGCTATTTAGGGGGCGAGAAATGGGAAACATAGAGTTGAATTAGTGAACGGTTAAGAGAGAAAAGTGTGCGGTTTTATAAGATGATCGCCGCGTAATTGCGAATGTAACTATTAGTAATAGTTGTGTATAAGGTGACTAGGAGAGAGTACAAGATTTGATCCAATAATAAACAACTTTTGAGGTTTTGTTAAATAATTAATGTTGGATAACACGTGGATAAATGCACATTAATGGAGGCTTTTCTAAGACGGATCAACGCTGAGGAATTGCTGATGTGGATCTGCCTATATTCGGATAACCTTTCTCCCCAATATAGGCAAAATAAATCAAGTATAGAGATTGCAATAATTTCTCATCACGACATTTTTGTGAACAAGTGAAAAATACCTCGTGCAGTTTGCATATTTCGAAAGTATTCATATGTTTACACTAATTAGATAATTAAATTTTAAGGAGTCATTTGGTTACTAGGATAGGGAAACTAATGTCAGGATAAAATTTAAAATTACATTTATCTCATATTTGATTATGATTATTAGTTAATATCGTAAAAATTATACGGGTGCTTTATTTGGTCGCCTCCATTTAACCTATACCTATTTTTTAAAAAAGTTTTAGCTTGTACCCACTTTTTAAACAACTTCAACCCTCTTTCTCCTCCNATAGGTTACACTCTTCACCTGGGCTTGATAATTTAGTTTCAGTCCAAATTTGGAAGTTTATATATAACTATAAATTACAATTTAAATGTGGTTTTAACTATATATTAGATTATATTACTTGAAATCAATTGAAGTCCATTCATATATGATGGTTTTATAGGGAAATCCTCACAAACATGTGTTGAGTTTTCAGAGTACTTCACGATTTTGTCCTCATATTCAACTTATGGTAAGATTGTTGACATATCTTGAGAGCATGGGTTGTGAAGCTAAAACGTGCTGAAGTTCATCAAATATAGAATAAAACTTCAACTTAAACATGCTGATGTTCAACAAATAGAGAACAAAACTTCAGCTACTAGAATGCTTAAGTTCAGCAGATACGAACAAAAACTTCAGCAAATAGAGAACAAAACTTCAGCTACTAGAATGCTTCAGTTCAACAATTACAAACAAAAACTTTAGCAAATAGAGAACAAAACTTCAGCTACTAGAATGTTTAATTAGTTCAGCAATTATAAACAAAAACTTCAAACAACACTTGGTTCAGTAATTTGCTACTTCAGGCCCGTCTACTAGAATGCTGAAATTTGCGTGATTGCCTTTGCTACTTCAGGCCTGTATGCCTGAAGTTACGCGAAAAGTTTTTTTTTTTGCAAAGCAGGTATAAACGTGATCCAAAAAGCGGGTATAGATACAAATGCCCCGTTAATATCGGTATAAGTTTAAGGACCTCTCCGCTAGAAATTGTACGGGGCGCCCTATTTGGTCGCCCTCATTTAACCTATACCCATTTTTTTAAAAAGTTTTAATTTGTACCCACTTTTTAAACAACTTAAGCCCCCTTTCTCCCTCTCATTCTTCTTCTTCTTCTTCTTCTTCTTCTTCTTCTTCTTCTTCTTCTTCTTCTTCTTCTTCTTCTTCTTCTTCTTCTTCTTCTTCTTCTTCTTCTGCTGCTGCTGCTGCTGCTGCTGCTGCTATGAAACTTCAGTTCATGGGATGATTGCCATAAGTATGTTTATTAGATTATTTAAAAATAAATTATAAATAACTACGTAGGTTAGTAGACAATAATCTGTGAATATTTCCACGTACGGGAAGTTTAAGGTCATACTTAGTGATTCTTTTCATGATAATTCTGTTCTTTCCACATTTATTTGTTTCCAAAATTTTATGATTTAGATACTGTTGACAATCTTTCTTTATTTTATAGTAGTCTGATTATAACAAAACTAATGAATCCAGGACAAAAAAACTTCAGCTTATTTGGTGCTAAAGTTTTTACAAATGAATTAAATAACTTCAGCATCTTCTGCTGAAGTTTTTGAACAAGCTTTATGACAAAACTAATGAATCTAGGACAAAAGAACTTCACCTTGTTTAGTGCAATTACAAACAAAAACTTCAGTAAATAGAGAACAAAACTTCAGCTACTATGTTTAAGTTCAGCAATTACAAACAAAAATTTCAGCAAATAGAGAACAAAACTTCAGCTACTATGCTTAAGTTCAGCAATTACAAACAAAAACTTCAGCAAATAGAGAACAAAACTCCAGCTACTATGCTTAAGTTCAACAATTACAAACAAAAACTTAAGCACACTTGGTTCAGCAAACTTGCTACTTCAGGCCCGTATACTAGAATGCTGAAGTTTTGCGTGATTGTCTTTGCTACTTCAGCCCCGTATGCTGAAGTTACGCGAAAAAGTAGGTACGCTTGTAATTTTTTTTTAAAGCGGATACAAGTTAAAACGTGACCCAAAAAGCGGGTATAGATGTAAATGTCCCTCTACGCGATATAATCTAAAGTAAAGATAAGTATCTTTTAGCTATGATTAAGTGATAATACTGTATATATGCAACACATCTTTTTCCTTCATGGATTTTGCGCTGAAGTGTATATTTTTGCTAAATTTTCCTTGGATTTAAGACTTCTCAATATTAATTGCTCTTATGATTGATTCCACGATTAGGACGACAAGGAGTCTTCTTCAGGTCTTTTTATTAAGTTGCAAAAATTAAGTGGCTCTTCCATTCCCCTGGAGTCATCTAGAGTCTGTTATCATAGACTAGGGTCACCACTTTAATTTTCATGGACTTTTAACTACTCAGAAATTCAGTATTATTACTGCGAATTTTCTAGCTTAGTATTGCGTGAGCCTCCACGAGTTTCTTGTTTTGGGTACTCATAGACGAATCTATTGTATTCTCAACTTTTTTTAATCTCTTGTCCGAAATTTGTTGACACGACTAATTTATATTCCGGCTATAAATGTTCACTAGAGGGTTCTCGCCCTTCTACTAAAGAGGACTATGTTCCCGCTAAGCTCGAACGTGAGACTTTTAGTTAATGATGAATTTTTTTTCTTATCCCACTATAATCTTTGGCGGTGCATAAGTGCATTAACAACTCTTACTCGAAAAAAAAAGACAAACTTTTTGGTGGACAATTCATCATTAACATAACACCGATAGAGAAGGAAGTGCGTAATAATCAATAAGGAGTAATCACTAAGCGGAAAATTAGAAAAGAAAAGGCACGTTATTTCCAGCGCCGTCAAGAAAAAGAATTGGGGGAGGGGTTTACCAAAAAAGTGAAAACATTATGATCCACAAAATTTCGATTTTGGGTCTAAAATAATCCCCTTGAAAGTGAGGCTGTCATATTTGTTCTTTCCATATATAATTCTTTTCACGTCATATAACACTTTTTGCATTACATGCATTTTGATATTTGACACTAACACTATCTCATTTCGCTATAACTTTTACAATTTTTACCAACTTTAAATTCATTAAATTATTCACATGTTACCCTTTGATTTGAAGAACTAACTTTTTAGTCATTATCTTAACATTTATTTCCACTATTATTACAATAATTTATAATATATAAGTCAAAAGTAAAAATCTTATACTCAGTGTTTTACTGTGAGAGATTTGATTTGGTAGTCACAAATATTATTCTAATTATATAACCCTTTTCATAGAAGATCAGTATAAAATAACATAGAAGATCTATAAAAAACATAAGAAATATTTGCGGATCATTTTATTTTATTTGAGTTGTGTATACAATCAAAATCGGGCCTACCCGATTTTGCTATTTGATTGAGACAAGGAACTTCCATCGGGGTAACCTCGCAATGAATCAGATCCGAGCTCGAGGACGAGACATCAAGATCGAAGTGCCTGCCGAAATCGAGAGGTCACTACCAGAAAATGGGCCTATGGCAACAATTATTTTAGCAACGGTTCAACAACCGTTGCCATAGAACATATGGTAACGGTTACAACCGTTACAGTGGCATTAAGGTGATATCAACACACTTTAACTATAGAACCGTTGCAATTGTAAAACAGCCGTTGCCATAGATGCATTTGGTGCAACGGTTATAAGAACCATCCCAATAAAACTATCTACGGGAACGCTTTCATTGTAAAAATTTCTATTGGAACGGTTACTTTTCCTCCTGAATTTTATTACACCCGCCAAAACAACCCCTATTCATTTTATTTTTTAATAATTTTAATAATCTAAATATCAAATAAAAAACTTTTTTGGGAAGAAGGGCAAGCTTAGCCCTAGATTCATTGGCCCATTTGAGATTCTTGATCGAGTGGGAGAGGTGGCTTACAGACTTGCGTTGCCCCCGAGTTTATCAGTCGTGCATCCAGCATTTCACGTGTCCATGCTTCGGAAGTATCACGGCGATCCATCCCACGTGTTAGACTTCAGCACTGTCCAGTTGGACAAGGACTTGTCCTATGAGGAGGAGCCGGTAGCTATTCTAGACCGGCAGGTTCGTTAGTTGAGATCAAAGTGTTGAGGCAGCGATCTGGGAGTCCGAGTCCGATATGGGGAGCCGATATCCCCATCTTTTCTCCGACTCAGGTACTTATCTTATATCTGTTCGAGGACGAACGGTTGTTTTAGAGGTGGAGAATGTGATGACCCAAAAGGTCATCACACATTTTGAAAGTTAATTATGTGTTCCGAGGACTTAAAAACCTCTTTTTGTCTCACCTTGATTGGCCTGTGCAGTCCGGACGCATTTCCAGAAAGCTTTTATGTGAAATCTAAGTAAAATAAGGAATATGGCTTTTAAAATTGATTAAAGTTGATTTTGGTCAATATTCTTGGTAAACGGACTCGGACCCGTGATCTGACGGTCTCGTAGGGTCCGTAGTAAAATATGGGACTTGGGCATATAACTAGAATTGAATTCCGAGGTCCCAAGCCTGAGAAATGAATTTTTGAAAGAAATTGTTTAACAGAATTATAAGAGATTTTGGAAAGGTAAAGATGTTTGAAATTAATGGTATCGGGCCCGTATTTTGGTTTTACAGCTCGATACAGGTCTTATATAATAATTAAATTGAACGGACCTATAGTTCAGAAAATAG